TAAAAAATAAATCAAATTATTTAAACTCAACTCATAATCAACTCGATCAAAATTCCATGAGATCAACTCAAAAAGTAAACAAAGCTAAAATTGAATATATTTTAAAGATCTTTAATTTTATTTTTATTTTTAAAATCAATCTTAAGCAACTTTCTACTCGACTCTACAAGTAAACAATTACATACTTCTATACTTCCATATATTTTTTAATAAATTTTTTTATGCAAAATTCTTGGGGCATTTCCCTAAATAAGCTAAAATAGTAAATCAATACCCAAACTAAGCCTAGTTTTCAAAGAATTCCCAAAATAAGCTAACTCGCGGTTCATAATCGCGATTTCAACATATTTCCGCCTGTCCCGCGTGAAAGTTGGGAAATCTTAAATTCGTGGTTACAAAAAGCGCTTTCGATTAATAAATCGTGGTTACAAAACGCGATTTTAATTAACTTTTCTTTCCTTTGAACTCGCTGTTACAAACCACGAGTTCATCGAAAGAAAATTATGTTCTGAATTCGCTGTTCGCAACCCCGCTTTTGTGAAAAAAAAAATTGTTCTAAACTCGCTATTTGTAACCACGATTTTATTTGAACTCGTTTTTCCAAACCACGATTTTAGCAAAAATTTTTTGTTCTGAACTCGCTTTTTCTAACCACGAGTTTTGGGCAAATTTTTTTCCATTAAGTGAACTCGTGGTTTACAACCACGATTTTAAAACTTGTATATAATCTCCCCCAGCCCCATGTTTTGCATTCACGCTTACTCCTCCTCTGTCGAAGCTCCCTCTGCTGTCTCTCTCTCACTCTTACTCCTCTCTCTGTCACTGTGCTCCCTGCTCTCTCTCTCTCTGTCGAGCTCCCTCTACTTCAGTACCGTCTCTTTCTCGTTAGTATGGCTTCTATCATCTACTTTACATATTTGTGAATATATTTGTGTTTGTGAAAATGTGAATAAATTAGGGTTAGGGTTCATGAATGTGGGGTTAGGGTTGGGGTTTATGTGAATAAAATGTGAATAAATTAGGGTTAGGGTTCATGAATGTGGGGTTTGGGTTAGGGTTTATATTTGTGAATAAAATGTTGTGAAATCAGAAATAATAAATTAGGGTTAGGGTTTATATTTGTGAAATTTTAACTATAGATAATTTGTTGAATGTGAATGTTGAATGTGTTGAATTTTAATTATAGAGAATTTGTTGAATTTGTTGAATGTGTTTAATTATAGATAATTTGTTGAATTTTAATTATAGATAATCTGTTAAATGTGAAATCTTTTGCTATAGATAATTTGTTGAATGTGTTTAATTATACATAATTTGTTGAATTTTAATGCTGTTAATTAATTACATAAGAAAGAGAAACGTTAATTTGGCTGTAAAAATTATTATTAATTAGGTGACGTGGAGTAGTAATAACTTAAAATTAATAGAGTAACAAAAATATTTTTGTTCTAAATTTCAATTTTTTAAGTAAGAACAAGAAATTGAAAAGTAAGGAACAAAATTTGTGATAAGAAATTGCTATGGAAGTTTTTTCGTCATTTTGGCCAGGAACAAATATATATAGGGATATGGCAAAATAGAAAAGTCAGATAATTGAATTTTATGTCGGTGTAGGCCTTCTTTCGTTTTCTTGTTAAATTTTTTTAAAGAGTGATTGTGATTGTTAATATTTTGTATGGGTGACCCTTTAAGTAGTACACTAAAATTTGTTTTAAAGAAAGAAAAATTTAAAATATGCCATTGATGCCACATGCCCCTACGATAAGAAAAATTGGTTTGACTAAATTTATGCACTAAATTCAAATCTAATCGTGGTTAAATATAAAAAGTATAGTTTACTTGAATTTCATGCCCCATTTAGGGTTAAATTTCATTTTCGAGTTTTTCCTCCTTAAATTTCATGACATTCCCTTTTATAAATTTGATATAAATAAATGACTTTTTAGAAGTGATCCACAAAAAAATTGATATAAACATTAGAGGTCGAATAATTTGATCCTTTTTTTTTTTTTTAATTTTTTTTATGTGGTTAAATGGGTGAGGAATAGGTATATGGCAAGGAACGATGCGGCGCTAACCATGGGTGAGGGAAGAAAGGGCAACGATAGGGAGAGACGTCGCTGAACATGATGCTTACAAGAGACAAAACCATTACCTTTTTTCTTCAATGCAATCTAAACCCTTGACAAAATGATGAAGTGGCAACATCTAATTTACAAGACTGGGCAATCCAATTTCTTAGTAAACTGTAGAAAAGCCACTCTCTTGTTATAATAGCAGATATATGCATTTTCATTCAAATGTGGCAATGCTTTATGCTTGTTGTTTCATTCAAATCCAATTATAAGAGGGTATTTTCAAAACAGAAGAAAAGTAGTAGAATTATGAAAAAAATAATCATATTATGATGTTTGAAGGTGTTTGAATTCTGGAAGATGTTTGGTTGTTCGTGTTGTATAAAATATGTATTTAAATAAAAAGAACAAATTCATATTTAATTAAATTGAAATTACAGAATAAGAAATCATGGGACTAAATCATACTGAATATTATAACTTGATGAACAGAAATATATAACAAAATAAAATACTGAAAGAAGAAATGGAAGCAAACTGAAGCCTGTGCCATACCATAGTCTCCTTGAAATAGATTCGCCACCTCATCGCGGATACTAGAGATATGCTCACGTCTGTCTCCCAGGATACGACGGTTAAAACCCGTTAAGTCAGAAGCACCTTATGTTTAGCTTCGGGGAATTGACAATGGAAGCACTTTCTCACATATGAAGGATTATATGATAGAAGTAGACTAACTATAATGCTAGAGAGCAAAAAATTCTATGTTCAAAACCAAAGAAGATTGTCTGCTTTTATACACAATGGGGGAGAGATGCGGAGTCTTCTAGCAGCAAATGCAAACTTAAATTCTGCAAAACTGAAGAACTAAATGCACTAAAACAGATGGGAAATAAGTGTGTAAGTTACACACTCTATATACACATATTTGTCTATCAATTCGGCCCAATCCAAACCTAACCCATTCCAACAAGCCTCAAGCCAAAGTCCCATGATCTAAGATCTAAGATCCACGACCCATAGACCCGCCCCAGCCCAGTCCAATCCAGGTGTAGATGCCCCATTTTTGACAGCCCTTAAGACTTGGGCGTTGCCAATTGATCACCCGATGATGAATGTATACATTGGACAAACGCTTGATTTCCTCAGCAAGAAGCCCCGGTTTTGAGCCTCAAAAGCCTACAAATCTTGCACCACTTTTGGACCAAAACAGTATTTTTCCAAGCCTGACCACTCAGAGGCCGACTGGCCAGAAGTGAGTGGCCGGCCGGCCAGTTGTTCCGGTAAAACAGATATTTTCATGCCAACTATGCCAGTTGTCTCCACAGGTGCATGCACTGCACTAGCTGTCTCTATACTAATATTTCTGAGATAGTAACATATTTTATCGGAAAGTTAGAGACTGGCTGTAGAGTTAGAAAAATATGTTACATCTCTCCATAGGTGCATGCACTACACCAGTTGTCTCTAACCCTAAATGGCTTGAGGGCGAAGGGAAGATCATCTAGTATTACACCACTGTTATTTATTCACTGTCGACAACTCACATCGCTTTGTATAAGAAGCGGATTGAGTGTAGATACATTATAAGAACTGAGAGGGTTAAACATGCTCTTTTGATGGATCATATATGTTTTTTAGACTAGTGTAATTAGATGGGTTTGAGGTATATGAGACACTATTTTTATTTTCGGATTGATGTCTCTACGCTGACTCATTTTTGAATTTCTAGTGTAAAGGTCCCATATGCAGGTGTTTTCAGCAGTTGTACGGTCTATTAGCTAGTATGATCGTGTTTGATAGATAGATTGAGATAAAGTAAGCGTTGTGTCATGCCTGCGCATGTTCGAGTGGGAAATATTGAAAATTGGGTCAAGTTTAAAATTCATACCCGATTGGGTTGCCCATGGTGGCATGACCCAAGACCCATAAAGAGAGACCCAGTCAAAGTGGACTTGGATTAACTTATTCTTGGAATAAGTGTGATTAACCTACTATCTCATCTATTAAGGAGATAGAGTTGTGGGTAGTTATAACACTCCCATATAATATACGTATTATATGGTCAGAGTTAATTTTAACTGTATCTGATTAGTCTCTTGTAGTCTTTTCTATTTTTTTTTCTCTCTCCATAGAAACACAATATAGCTTTTGTATTGTGAATAATGTGGATAATTCTCTAATGGTTCTACTACATTACTGAAAATTATTCGAAAATATTAATAGAGACACGTGATTCACGTACATGGTCTATAGATTCAGTTTGAACGTTAAAAATATGTCCGAATTCATTTATTTCCTCTGTATATTATTTTTTATTTTTCCTACGCTATTTTCCCAGGTCATACAACAGTGATGGTGTCTTTTACCATCATCATGGGTTTCTGAAACCATCAAGACATGTATACCAAAAGATAACTAACGACATAGAAAATTGGAAAGAAAGAGAAATAGCCAATCAATGAAAGATCTCATGCCCTTTTGTTCCAATATTGGTACGAGGAACAGTTGGGTTTTGGCACAGAAGGTCACCAAACCACAACTTTTCCAAACCATACTTTTGTGATTATAAACCTACCCAATATGGTTAGCATGATGTAAACAATCCACAAAGAGTCAAAGTTAAGGGTAGGGGAGTGGCATACTATTTCAAAAGGAGTTAAGCACACTCACTCAACAATGCAAGTTGGAGTTTACCCAAAACATGCTAAAACTCAAGGACATCTTGAATTGAACCATGCTTTGGGTACATTAATTGATGAACAACAGTTATATATCTAGCTACGAGAGGGAATGGGCAAAGTCGCTAAGCGGCTAGAATGATTGAATACAGGCCTAATGTTCTAGGAAAAGGTCGTCTAACCACTAGGCTATCCCCTTAGCAAATTGACCCGTGACCAAATTGGAGTTGCCCATAACAAGCTCCCATTAATAGGAGAAATAATATAAGAAAAACAGTGACACCACGTAATTGAATCACCAATCAATTTATGTACATTTCTCATAATTTTTTTTGGGTACATTTAAGAACTACTGCAATATATCTAGCTAAGAGGATAGGGAAAGGAAAAGTCGCTTAGAGGTTGGTAAGAGGAGCCTCACCAAGCTAGCCCCTTCCTCTCATAAGCTTCTTTCAATTCTAGAAGTCGACCTGTCACTTCTTAATCAGATACACATTATTCTGACCACTCAAAGGATATAAAGTGAACCGAGGCATGAAAAATTGGTACAACTTCAAAGAAGAGACAGCTCCTCCTCTCGAGCCCTAAAATTCTCTCCAATGCTACCAAGGCCAGGCTTCCACTGCCCTTGCTGGTTGTGCTGCAACGACAGCCCCTCATCTTCATTGGACGCTGCCACCTTCTCCGCTCCACCGCCTTTGTCCATATAAAGCCCAATGATCTTCTCAGCCACCTCTGCTTCATCTCTGCTTTCCTCAACAAACTTATCCAATTGAGCCTTTGGTAGCCTCATCTTAACCCGAACAGGGCCCGAACTCTGTCCAGGCTCATCTAATTCGGGCCTGATCGGTCTCATGATCGAAAGATCAGAGACCGATCTCCGGGACAACATGAGGCACTCCAGCCGGTCCTTGGCGGTCATGTGTATACCGTCTGATCGTGTCCTCCTAGGCACTTTTTCCTCGGACAGCTTGGGCAGTTCCACTAGGAAATAAATCTTTTTGGGCTTCAAATGTTGTTGGGGCTCTAATGGCTTGGCTCTGAGGCCGAAGTGCTTGACAGCCTCTGAATCAAGTAAGACATGACCAGGGTAGTCCTTGACTATGTCCGAAGCTGGTACTGGTGTCTTTATCTTGAAGGTTTCTCCATTGATCTTCATCACCTTTGCTTTCTTTCTTCCTCCTCCTATGCTGTTCCCCATGGCTGTTTCTCTCTGCTTCTTTCTCCCTCCCTCCTGATGATGATGATGATATATATAGATGTAGTTTTGTGGGTGTAAAGAACAGTATATGTACACAAATTTTGTTTTCTTTTTTAAATTTCAATGAATATGTCCCAATCATTTACAACTTTTTATATAGCCGTATGGGGACATGTTGAAGTATCCTGTCATGTTAGGAATTGATACGTACGGCTAAATAGTATTGAGACACCAAACATAAATAGGATTAAACAAATAAATAAAATCAAGTATATAAGATTACAAAAAATTGATTTGAAACAGTTATGAACCGACATGAATGTACGGCAACGTGTGAATATGTTGAAATTATAATACTTTCTTTGATTGGAAGATTTAAAGAGTGATTTAGAAAGAAAAATAAAAAAAATAGATAAAATATGAATAAAATATACTTATATTTCACTTACTTTCACACTTTTTCTCTTTCCCTTTTCAAATTCCTTTCTAAATCCATAATACAAAAAGTGGGGATTGTATTTACTTCTCATTTTCTTTTCCCTTATATTTTCTATTTTAAACAAAAAGTAAAATCGTATTTCTCGTTCCTTTTTATTCTTGTCACTAAATCCACCTACCAATTATAGTCTTAGCACTATATTGATTTTTTAATAGAAGTCTCTCTCTCCCAAAACTTAAATCAAGGAAATATTATTCTCATTTACATGAATGATCTACATAAATATACTTTTTAAATTTTTTACAAAATATATATATATATATATACATAAATAATATGACAGAAAAAATAAAAGATAAAAAGATAACTATTATAAGGGATGTCAAATAACCCCATAATTCCATTGTCAATGTCATTCATGTGTTCGCCTTGCTTTGCTTTTCTTATGATTCTTTATTATCTAAAATAATTAAAAATTGTGATCTCAACCTATTTTTTCACTCTTCATTATTCTAGAAAAATAAGTTATCATAGGGGGAAGTGTGGATATCAAATTCCAATCCTGTTTGAAAAAACGGTTATTTTTAAAACACTACAAAAAAATTACTTTTTTGCGACGATAAAATGCCGTCGTAAATACCCAAAACACCGTCTCAAAAGGTTTTTTGCAACGGTAACTGGCCTTTTGCGACGGTAAATAGGGAGTCGCAACAAAGGGGGTTGCAAAAGGGTTTTACCGACAGTATAACGTCGTCGCAAAAAAAGGCGACGGCAAAAATGCTTTTTTGTGACGGAAAAATGCTGTCACCATTAACGCGTGAAAATTTGAGTTTTTTTGAGACGGCACTGTGTTGCCGTCGCTAAAAGGGTTATTTACGACGGCACAAATACCGTCACTAAAGGTTTATTTGAGACAACATTTGATGTTGTCGCTAAAGTACTATTGGTGACGGCAAATAACACCGTCGCTAAAAATCTTTCTTTTCAACCAAATGCCCTATCTTTTGCGACAGCATTACTGCCATCGCAAAAAACCCTGGTTCTGTTTTTCTTTTTGAGACGGTGTGTGTGCTGCCATCTAAAAAAAAAAAAAAAAAAAAAAAACCTGTAATAAAATTATTAAAAATATGAAAATGACATGTATTAAATGAAAAATAACTAAAAAAAAATCAATAATTACATAATAATATAAAAAATCTAGTATATAAATAAAAATTCATCCATAATTAAAATATTCTTCCATTCATAACAATGCATCAGCAAAATTATCCCAATATATAATGTTGCATAATACATACATAATGTTGTTCACAAATCTAAATAACGTAAATTAAAAACAAAAGTTTTCGTCATGATTCTTCTGTGGGTTAATATTTTAATCTTTACGAGCCTGCATTCCACAATAAGTAAACTGCTACTCCAAAAATATCTGAAAATAACAAAATAAAAATAATTAATGACAATATAATTGTGTTAATGTTTTAATTACAGAAAAACATAAAAAATTAACTACTATATTAATAAAAAATTGACAGAATAAGGATTCATACTTTTGTTGCAACCAAAGGTTCTAGGAATATTTATTTATTTATTTTTGACTCACGACTCTAATGGCATTAAAACTGATTGTTTTGAGGAAAGAACATTATGTCCTTACATGTCACAGTTTATAACAATTTCTTTTAACAATGTGAGATATGGGTTGGCAAAAATTAGATCATGAATAGATTGTTTCCCATCTCTGTCTATCTTCTTCGGGTTTGGGTTTTCTTATCTGGTGGATTATTAGGCTAAATCTGTTACATTGATATAGATCCTGAAAGTTCACCCTATTTGATTTGTTTTCTCATCTTTTGACAACTGATCCATTGCACTGTAATTTGTACATTTTGTACAGTATTGCTATTCACATGACAACAACATATTAATTTCAAAAGCATTCATATGCCTGTTCCTGAATTCTTAATTGTCAACAACACAACAAATTTATGAAGAGCCAAAGTTTTGTTTCTGGTGTTTGAAACTTGAACATTATGTTTCATACTAGTGTTTTTTATTTATTTATAAAAAATATAATAATTATATTTGGACTTTGTTTCATTTCAAAATATACATGGAAAACAGGTGATTGCATGCTTCAATATTACTGTTTTCTATTTACTTAGAGCAGATACTGATCATTGGCTTATTTGTGACAGGATAATGTGTTTATAATGTGCTTATTTGGAGTCACGTCTAACCGGCTCTAACTCCCAAACTGAGAACCCTATTGGAGTCCTGTCTTCTCCCATAAGTCTCTCGTGCCTAGGCGGTCGTGTGTGCCAAGTTTCATGCTAAACTGACACCGTTTGGTAATTTTGGAGCGTCAACACCTCGAATTCAAGTTTCTTAAGGAACTAGTTGCCTAGAGTGATATCCGACTCTAACTCCCAAACCAGGAACCCGATTCGAGCCCCGTCTTCTCCCACAAGTCTCTCGTGCCTAGGCGGTCGTGTGTGTCAAGTTTCATGCCAATCCGATCCCGTTTGGTGATTTTGGGGCGTCAACACCTCGAATTCAAGTTTCTTAAAGAACTAGTTTGCCTAGAGTGATATCCAACTCTAACTCCCAAACCGGGAACCCAATTCGAGCCCCATCTTCTCCCACAAGTCTCTAAAGGTAAGATTAGCACGTCTGTCAACGGCTTACGGGCATCAAACGGTCCAACGCACTCTCTGCAACACGACCTAAACCCTACGCGACTTGGGTGACGTCCCACTAACCCTAACCATTAATTAACCTTACATAAGCACAAACCCAAGAATTAATATACACACAATAATGACATAAATAAAAACAAATTAGGACATATATGATCTCATATACCTTTACTGTTGGGGTAGCGGAGGCCTTCTGGCCGCCCAAGCCACCAGATTCTCGGTGATCAGCACTTGGATTCCTTCAAGATTCTGTTCACACCGTGCTAACTGCTCTGTGATGTACGGTTGTGTAAAACGGTCTGGTCAGAGGCTAAGATAATATCTTTTACGATCAAGCCAGAATTGTTGTGCTGATAATGCTAGTTCTAAGAGATTAACAGAGGGCATACATATTAAACACGAATAGCAAACTTTTATTGAGGAAGTAAAATATTTTACAAGAGGGGGTTTGGAAAGAGATTACAAGAGAGGAGATAGTAAAGTTGAAGAAAAACTAGAAATTTCGTGATGCCTCAACAAGGGTGAGGACCTTCCCTTAAATAGACAAAAGAAGATAAGATTACTTTATTACATAAGGACAGGTGGAGATCTTCGATTGCACCGACAGATTACACCTATCTTCTTATCTTCATGGATAGCTGTAGAGGGGAACAAGCTTTATCCCTGATACTGATGGAGCATCTGCTTTCTGAAAAGTTGTTTGTCCTGTTGTGCCGACGCTCTAAAGCTCGGGGCCCTTTCCTTTATTGTTTTTGTCTTGAGCCATCTTGTCCGCAACTGCAGCTGTAAAGGAATCCCAAAAATCACCAAGAGTGGGTTCCGTTTCATCTTCGGATTGAGACTCACCTTCTAACACGTGGTCGGTTGGATCGACCTCTGATTCGGATTGGGTATGACTGGTGCCTGACCTCATGGAAGTGTCATCTTCGGGATTAACAGATTGAAGAAATTGCTCTTTCAGATAATCCATGCTTTTTAAAATTAATTCATTATCTGAAAGGTTTGGAAATTTCTATTTTAATTCCTTCTGCATTTGGACAAAAGGATTGCTAATTGGAGAGGAAGGTGCTGGTAAAGTAGGCTGTTTGACAGAGTCCCAACAGGCCTTGGTATGCTGTTGTATTTTCGGAAGGAGATCCTTAAGATCCATTTTATCCCACCATTTGATAAAATAAATTCATTTTAACCGGGGGATCTTATTCTGGTAGTCACAAGCAAAGTCCCATTTCCAAATCCACGGAATGCTAAATCGGATAGAGAAATGGACTATGGCTTTTCTGATTGATAATTCTCTGTTTTTATTTAAATATGAATAGGCACGGGAATAAGCAACATGCCATTCATCAAATTCTGTTCTTACTGATTCTGGTAAAATGTCAAGAGAAAGTCCGAATTTATCCCACCAAACGAGGAACCAGAAAGGGACATCGGTTTTGAGAACATCGGACGTAATACAGATAAACCAAGAATGGTTCTTGATGGGGTTCTGGTAATAGAATACCTGAGTAAAGGCATCAATATAGTCCCAGTACGAATATTTGGTCTGTTTGTTCCGTAGATCAATATCTCGGGTGGTATGCGGATGGATGCCCCAAGTAGATATGGGCATAATATTACGGATAACCATTTTACTGAATTGGATAGGACTAGCAGTTTTATTGGCGTCATGCAAAGTATGCTTGATCTCAGCAGCACCAGTTTCAACAAGTATCTGTTCGTAAATATACCTGTATTGATCAAAATGAGGGGGTGACTGTTGGGTGGTGAGATAACGGCGTTTAATCTCCCACGGATCTGTCATCCACTGTTCATCAGATGGTTCAATCCAAAGAACAGTTTCGTCAGAAAGACTGTTGGGCGTATACGGATCTTCCGGCCTCAGGAGAACATCCCTTGCCGTTGGATTACTGCTTTGACCTCCTCTAGAGAGGGGTGGATATTCGGATAGATCATAGCGAGGGTTAGAACCCCGACCACGACCTCGACCTCTTTGGCCTCTACTGGTCATTTGCTGATTTCTGCAAATATTCACGGGTTAAGAAGTCAGGCAAAGAGTTAGTTTCTCCTTTAATATATTCAATATCAAAATCAAAATTGGATAAATAACCTTGCCAGCTTACGAATATCTGTTTAGAAACAAGATTTTTAACATCCTGTTTAAATATCTGTCGAGCAGCAGAGCAATCAACTCTGATGATAAAATGCTGGTTTAATAAATCATCCTGGAATTTCATAACACATTTTACAATGGCTAAACATTCCTGTTTAATGGTCGGATAGTTTAAAGCAGCTTGATTCCAATGCCCAGAATGAAAACGTAAAAGTTCTTCTTTCTGAGTTTTGGGATTAAACTGTTTTAAAATACCACCAAATCCTTCATTGGAAGCATCTGTTTCAACTATTTTCTTCCATTCAGGATTAGGTAAATTTAAACAAGGTAGCTGTTGGACTTTAGCTTTAATTTTTTGAACAGCTAAAGTATGTTCTGGAGACCAAGGTGGAGGATTCTTCTTTAACCTGGTATACAAGATGTTAGCATCTGCAGATAAATTCTGGTAATAGTCACGAATATAATTAAGACTACCTAAAAATCTCTGTAATTGAGTTTTGTCTTTAATTTCATCTGGAAATTTAGAGGCAAACTCCATACTTCTGTTAATAGGAATAATACTACCGTTGGAAATATTATGTCCTAAATATCTGATAGTGGTCTGAAATAATTGCATCTTTGGGGCAGATAAAACCAAACCATTTCTGATAATAACATTCTTAAAAATATGAAGATGTTTGACATGCTGGTCAATTGATGAGGAGAAAATTAAAACATCATCAATATAAGAGAGAGTAAATTCTGTAAATGGATTAAAAATATCATTCATGATATGCTGGAATTCTGAAGAAGCATTTTTAAGACCGAATGGCATAACATTCCACTCGTAATGCCCAAAGGGTACTGTAAAAGCTGTCTTATAACGATCCTGTTCTGCAATTTCAACTTGCCAATATCCTGATTTAAGATCAAATTTAGAAAAAATTATAGCATCCTGGAGACGGTCTAAAAGATCCTTTTTGTTCGGAATAGGATAACGAATCCATTTCAATTTATCATTTAACGGTTTATAGTTAATTACAAGGCGAGGAACACCTCGTTCTAACTCTGCATTTTTATTCACATAAAAAGCGGTACAACTCCACGGGGAGTGACTAGGACGGATAAGTTTCTTCATGAGAAGATCTTGAATTTCTGTTTTACACATTTCCATATATTCCTTTTTCATTTGACTAGGGCGAGCTCTAGTTGGAATATATTTTTCATCAAAATCTAGTTCGTATGGCAATGTAACAATGTACTTTTTACGATTCCAAAAAGCATTGGGAACAGTACCACAGACTTCTGATTGAAATTCTTTTTCAATTAATTTAATTTTCTGTTGAAAAGAAGATTGTTGTAATCTTTGTTCTGTTGTCAAAAAAGAAACTTCTTTTTGAATCAAATTTATCTGGTTTTGTTTGACAGAAATTAAATCACGAATCTGATCTAATTCTTTAGTATACGGTTGAGTGATAAATTCAAAATTAACTGTTTTTCCTTGTAATTGGGAATAAATACCTGTTGAATCAATTTTCTGAATAGGCATTAAAAGACAAAGGAAAAGTGTGCCTAAAATGATATTTGTAGCAAGATTTCTGACTAACACAAAAGATGTAGGAAGACAAAGATCTTCATTAC